TCCCATCATAGTTCTATGTTAGTTAGAGAAAACAGGGGCTGGTTCTCCAATTCACATATGAATATTGAAATGCTGACTGGACAGTGTAATATTTTAACATATGTAAATTATAAGGTACGTCTTCCAAATCACTTTTTAAAAGTTAATACTTTAGCTAAATAAATGATCCTATTAACATTAACAGTTGCTATGCTTTACAATGGGAAAAATATTTGTACCAACATTATAGACACAAAGGCTTAAAAAAAATTCCCAGACTTTTAAAAAATGATTTCAGGGTCTCCTTGGTGGCATGATCACCATTACAATCCCCAGTCAGGTTGATCAAACCCACATATGGCACAGCAGAGCTCACCTGTCTTGCCCACTACTCCCCTCAGCAATGTATTTCAGCATATCTGCCCTTTCTGTTCCTACTCTCTCTCTAGTGAATCCTCTCATGCCCTGCACAACTGGCCTATACCCCAATTCTTCTATGCAAGAAAAAAGAAAAGAAAAAGATTTTGACTTTAAATCATTTTCAACAAGACTATAAAAGTTAGAAATTCTTTAGAAACAAATAATTTTTTTTGTCAAAATAACACAATTTGCTTTCCTGCAAAAATTATTTGGATGTGCATATACAGACTTATTGAGAAATTTAACCTTAACACATCTCAGTCCACAGGGCATTTCAGCAGACATGATCCCAATAATTACTTAAAAGCAACATATGCCAACAAGACAAAAAAAAAAAAAGACTCTCTTAGAGAGCAGTATTAAACCCTGCTACTCTTCATTACTTGATCATATCATTTCCTGATGTGAAAAGGAAAGGTTCCTTTGGGAGGAAAGCAAAAAGGAGTTCAAAGTGTCAAGAATAAGCAGGCTTTCCCTTCATGATCTTCCCCTTGTCTTTGTTGAGAATTTTTTATATACAAGATCTTATTGCCTCTCTAGCTCAACTAATTTTTAGCAGAAAATTAACTCCCAGTGATCACTACTATCTATTGATTTTTTTTTTTTTTACCAGTGTTGACGGAGAACTTTACCCAGATTCCAAGACCTAACATCTTACCCAAAGTACTACCATTATCATACTTAGAAAAATCTCATTTATACTCTATCATTAGGTACATGATTAAGATTTATTTTTTTAATATTCAACATTTGCTACATTAGAATTATTTTAAGAGAAAACCAATAGGAAGAATACTGTTCCTGTAATTAGAAAACTTGGATGTTTGTCCTAGCTCTGTTGCAAATTAGTTGTGCCTTCTTTGGGAAGACATTTAACCCCTTGGAGCCACAGTTTCTTCATTTATATAAAGTCCTTTGCAATGCTAACAATCAATTTTTTTTCCATCAGAAAACTGGCTGAGAGCTTTGAGATCTCATTTTGACAAAAATGATACCAGCCAGTGTGGGGAAATCACTATAACATTTCTTTACAGCCCAAATTACATTTTGACATTTTCCCCAACCCCAACCAAGCACTGCCTATTGCAGGAAACAGGCAGTAGACAAGAAAACTGACTCAACTTTGTATAATATCGTTACTGCTTTCCAGCCTCTGACACTCTTCCAAATTTCAGTTCTTGCACCTTTTCTAGGTTTTCAGTGATAATCTTTCTACCTAGAACTGCCTTCTCTGAACCCAACTAATTAGCTACCGTTCAAACACATGACAGTTCTTCTGCCTTCCCTTCCTTCCTTTCCTTCCTTTCCCTCTATCTCTCCCTCCTTTTTCCTGTCTCTCTGTCCTACATACAATAAATTCTTATAATCTTCTCTTATCATTCTTTTGATCCTCTCTCCCTTCCTGCATCCTTCCTTCCTCTTTCCCCATTACTACACACAATCTGATTAGAAGTTCTGTCACTACTAATACTAACCACCAACCATGGACCATCCACTGCTCAAGGAAAGTTAAGCACAGCTTCTTTTATACATTACAAACCCCCCAAAGGGTATATATTACTCATCATATTAAAAATAAGGAAAAAGGGCCCTCCCTGGTGGCGCAGCGGGTTAAAGCACAGCACTGAGAATTTGAAGCCACTTCCGTATGAGTTCGATTCCCGCCTGCCGCCTGCCCCGGAGGAGACCACATGGCGAGCCAGACCTCTCCTGACCCGCC